CACCTCAACCTCCCAAAGGCGCGGGATTACAGGCTGAGCCACCGAGCCCGGCTGCTTCTCTCACTTACTAGTTCAAAATTCAAGAGGCCAAGACCTATTTCCATAAATTAAAAATTCCTCATGGGCGTGCAAATCAGATGAGAAGCAAAGTGCTCAGGCTTTTGGGCTCAGAGATTACTTAACAAAGTGCAGTGACCATCATCCCTTACCCTGAAAGAGGATGCAGGGTGTGGCAGGTACTCATTTCAAGCTGAAACTACTTCTCAGGAAACATGCCCATAAATACTTTGGGTTTTTTGTTTTGTTTTGAGTCAGAGTCTAACTCTGTCGCCCTGGCTGGATTGCAGTGACAAGCTTACAGCCACTGCAACCTCGACCTGCTGGGCTCAGGCAATTCTTCCGCCTCAGCCTTTCAAGTAGCTGGAACTATAAGCACGTGCCCCCACACCCAGCTGATTTTTTAATTTATTGTAGGGGGTGGGGTGTCACGCCAAGTTGCCCAGGCTGGTCTCGAACCCCTGGGTTCAGGCAATCCTCTCGCCTCCGCCTCCCAAAGTCTGGGATTGCAGGCATAAGCCACCACACCCGGCCTCCATGACAGCTTTCTAGGCAGCATTCAGCACAAAGAGCGGATGAGCTCTGATTACCCCTTGACCCGATTGTCACTGATGGTGGAAATTTTCCTCTCCATACTCGCTGTAAATCTGACTCACTTCTGTTGATAACAGATTTCCTCCGAATGAGGGCCCTCCTCCCCTTCTCCTCCACTTTACCAAAACCCACCTTCGACATGCCTTGGAAGAAAGGAGTCGGAGGGGCCATCTCTATCTCCTCAGTGTTGGCCTGTCCTGTTATCAGAATGCAAAGGTTATCTGGGGTTTCGCACAGAGCCCACTTGTGTCCTGTGCTTGTGTGTTTCTCTGCAGTGGCAACTTTCACGACTCGCTGGTCCAAATGTGTTCTGTCTCATAACGCGTCAGGGAACTTCTGCCATCTCCTATCGATCCTGCCCGACTTCTCAAACCGCGAGAATTTTCTAGGAGGGGTTTGCAAAGGCCAACAGGCCACTGAATAACATCGCGTCCCCACATCTACTCAGCCAAAATCCCATTTTCAAAATCCCGAGCCCGCCCCTAAGCCCTTCCCGGAGTCACTCCTCAGTCCGGGGACTCCGCGCCCCGCTACAGGAGTCATCCCTCGGTGCATCCAGCTTGTCTGGACTCCGAGCGCAGCCTGTAACCCTCCCGGCCCCAGAAGCCTCCCGTTACGCGCCGTTCCCTCCGAGGCGCGGTCGCGGAAACCCGTCCCGGGCACAGCCGCCGGCCGGACCCCACTCTGCAACTCTAGCCCGGACGATCTCCCGCTTCCGGCAGCCCACCGCACCCTCAGCCGCCCGGCCCCTCGCTTCCGGCCGCCAACGGCACTCAGTCGCCCTCCCCCCCGTGGAAAGGCGCGCGAGGCATCCTGGGAGTCGTAGTCCGCGGTCCTCTCACCCGCCCGCGGTCACGAGGAGGGGACGCCAGGCGGAACTACACTCCCCAGGGCGCCCCGCCGCGGCCACTTGTTGCTAGGCGGCGGGCGCGTTGCTAGGAGTTACCTCAACGTCGCTCATAGACGAGGTGGCCAGACTCAGAGGCCCTCCTAGGGGCCTGCCGGGACGCCTAAGGTTTTTCTTGTCTTCTTTGGAGGACTGACTCGTGGCTGGGTGGGGGGCGTGAGAAATGTGTTGATATTGGAAGGTTGCCGGGTGACTCCATAAACGTATTTATTCCACACCCCAAAGTTGAGGGGAAGTGACTGACCTGTTAAATCATCAAATCAACGCTTCCAACCATAATGAAACTCAAAACGTGCACCCAGCAAAAATACACGTAACACTTTTTCTAGCATATGCTGATTACAGATTTTATTTAGGGTTACTCAATTTCACAAAGAAAACAATGGTTTGTGGCTTGGCTTACAGTGCTGGCGGATCACCGCTGTCCAACCAAGATTCATTCCATGCTCCGCCCCGTGCGCCTCCCGGTACTCCCACGCCCACCCTCACAGATACATCAAGCCAAGGCTGGGTGACAACACATGCTAAATGCAAACTCAAACCACAACAGTAAAGGAGAGAAAAGGTAGCAGAGTTATGATACAATCCAAAGGATATAAGTCATTTAGTTGAATCCATAGCAATTGGAAATAAAATGTATTTACCAAGTAGTAGTCAGCAGTCTGAATATTCCAAGACCACACATTTGCTACCTAAAAATCTCTGAAACAGTCAACAGTATTGTAGCAAAACAACTTATTTTGGTTCTGAATTCTTAAAATCACTCCCAATTTTCCATGATCTTTCCAAGACAACCAATGGCCCACTTAAAAATTTAAGGCAAAACCAAAAAGAATCTAGGAGTTTGCAGATTTGCAACAGCTAACATTTGGTAACTCTAAAAAGGTTCTTTATGTTTCTGTGTTTACTATCATGAGCCACTAGATACTGAAAAATTTGATAAGAGTGGATAGCAAACAGCAAACTGTACTATCAATAATTTAAAATAAAGTCATTTACGGTGTTACTAGTTCTAATCCTCCAAGAATGTGGTAGTAAACAGTTAACTGAGATGATCTCCCTGTGCTATTTCATGAAAATGATCAAAATCTTCATCTAAGGACAATCTAACAAGTCTTGGTCTCAGGCAGAATAATCAATTACCTGGCACTGTTCCTTTCTCCAGTTCTAATACTGCTTGAAGACAACCTACAGACTCAGGCATGCTCTGCACACATATAAAAAGATTCACAGGGGCTGAGGTGAGTGGATTGCCTGAGCTCATGGGTTCGAGACCCGCCTGGGCAACTTGGCGAGCCCTCATCTCTGCAATAAATAAAAAAATCAGCCGGGCATGGTAGTGTGTTCCTGTAATTCTGGCTACTCTGAAGGCTGAGGCGGAAGGATCGCTGGAGCCCATCGGATCGAGGTTGCGGTGGCCAGGAGCGGCCACTGCACTCCGGTTTGGGAGACAGAGTGAGACTCCAACTCAAAAAAAAAAAAAAAAAAAAAAGCTTCACAAGTGTTACAAGCCACCTGCACCTAATTCACCTCCTTTTTAAATATGATGGATAGAAAGAACTTGAAAAAGGGAGAGGAGGGACTTTGAGCAGCAGTTGTCTAAACAATTATTCTCATAAAACTCCAGGATTATGATTTTGGAGTCGTCCTTTTCCACTCTAAGCCCTACGGTGCAGAAAATCCAAGAATGAAGATCTAACATACTAACTTTAGGAACTATAAAATGCCTCTAGGTCTATGTTCTAAATACCTGAAATTATAATTGGTGAGTTCTCAGAAAGCATATGAACACAGTTAATGCTGCAAGTGAATGTTCTGAGGACAACACAAAGGGCCCCCCCACCGAAGGTTTTGGGACCAGCTGTGCTGAGGTCACTAATGTCCAAACACTGAAAAACACCTCAGTATAGATCAAGTAGAGCAGAAAGTAGAATTCCAAACACTTGAGGAAGAAAAATCAATCTTCATCCATTACAAATAGCCAACAAATCTCTATTAAACCTCAGATTTTGTATTCTGTACATTACTTACAGTACTTTTTTAAAAAGGCTTAAATCAACACCACCTAATAGAAAAATCTTATTAGTTCTATTCACTATCATCATTTTGGAGATTACAATTTATCTTTGTACTTGTGAAAATGACTCACATTTTGAATCTAAAAGATGCAAATTTATTATTAGGGACACTCTTGTGTGGTAAGGAGAACAAACTGAACCTGTTACTTCCCTTAATGTGCAGCCAACAAATATGTACCGAGTACTTCCAAGGATTCCTAAATAACGACCAGAGTCACTCACAACGATTGCTGCAACTACAGCAATTACAGGTGATTTACAGCTATTTGTTCAGGCAGGCCATTTTTTTTTTTTTGAGTTGAAGTCTCACTCTGTCACCCAGACTGGAGTGCAGTGGCCGCTCCCGGCCACCGCAGCCTCGACCTGCTGGGCTCCGGCAATCCTTCCACCTCAGCCTTCCGAGTACCCGGAATTACAGGCACACGCTACCACGCCCGGCTAATTTTTTGATTTATTGTAGAGCTGAGGTCTCGCCAAGTTGCCCAGGTGGGTCTCGAATTCGCGGGCTCAGGCAATCCACTCAACTCAGCCTCCCAAAGCGCTAGGATTACAGGCTGAGCCACCGAACCCAGCTCATTTTTTGATCTTAGTGTTACCTGAATCTACATTTTACACTTCTTCACAATTTAAACTTATGTTTAATATTGCAGCATGCTTTCTTACTAGTACAAATCAATGAGATTTTACTATATCTTTATTCTTTGATTACATTAATGAAGTTCAAGACAAAACATTTCAAAGTTAATTTTAAAAGTACCAAATGTCAGATTTAAATAAAACTTAAGGTGCTGGATTGAAGGTGGCACTGCAGTGTCTACAACCTCTTCAAACCTGCTAAGATTGATCCCAGATCTACACAGCTGGGTTGGGTAGGTGTCATTCCAAACATCCTCAGATTCTGCCTACAGATATTCATCTATGAATAAGGTATTTAAACACTAATTTTGAAATAATTCTACATTTAATAAGGCAATATTAAGCTTACTTTCTATTATTTTCCAAAATTGGAACTAATGTTAGGATAGATACAAGTGAGATTAACACAGGATTAATTTTCAATCTTACACAATTATCAATTAGTTCTCCCAGTGGAAAGACTAAGGTTAGTGTCAAACATATGTTATTTCTGCTGTAACTGAAAAATCTTATATTATCAGTTTCCCTGGAATAGATTTTATGTCAAGTCCCCAAATAGGAATTATGCTTCTGCTGAATTATACTGTGTTATCAGGACTGATTCTAGAACAACTGATTTCATGAGGCATATGTCACAGATATAAGCACATAACAGGTTTAAAAAAAAAAAAAATCAAGTGATTTTTGTTGTTTCACATTAAAAAAAGATCCATTAAGTGGTATATATTTAACCTTTAAGTATCCAATGAGTATGTAAATTAGATTCAAATGAAAGGACAATTCAGCAACTCGGATAAAGCTCCTAGAACTGTAATGAAAACTAAATCAGACATACGATAAGAAATAAAATCTTCCATTTATCTTCTAACCATAGTTTCAATGATTATATTTTCTGAGCCAAGAATCAGAACACATGGTATGTGTCAAAGCATTTTTCTGTGCTATATCTGAGTGTGAGGTGACCTGAGTGTTTTTATTTTTTTAATGCCAAGTACTGTAACCATTTTAATGGCTTATGCCAAGATGACAGAATATTTGCAATCTGGATGTTTGCAATATTTGCAATTGTCTCAGAAAATCCAGTTAATGTGGTTACCAAAGTTACAGCAGTGTCATAGTTGAGAGCTCTCTCTACACTTACTCTACAAAGAAGGAACTGTGATTTTTTTCCCCTTCTTTTCTTTAGTAACTCTTCCAGGAGAAAGAGAGAGGAAGGGAAAGAGGAAGATGAAACACCACCAACTGAGGTTGCAGCAGTTGCCAAACGTTGTATGCAGAGATAACTTTGCTACTCTTTCCCTCCCAAGAAGTTGGAGAAAAAGGGAGTTGTTGTCCTAGAGTGACAATTTAGGATCCTTGAAATAGAGGATGAATTCCTACGTACACAAGACAGAGTCCTGCAGTAGGCCTGTGCTGAAGAATAGTTTCACAGGAGCAATCCATCAGCAAAGGAGGGCAAGCAGGCCAAAAGTGTCAAGCACAAACTCACCCATGTTAAGTTTTTTGATGAGTTTCTTCCCCCAGTCCTTTTTCTCCAGTTCCGCTTCTTAGCCAGAAGGGGTAGAACATTTAGCAAGGAAAGCCTGGAAGGGTCCTACCCCACTTCAAAACCACCTTTGCTTAAAAACACTTGTGTAGCCAGTGATTACAATGTGAAAATAATTAACTACTTAGTAGTTAAATTTTGCAGATTATCAAAAGTCATAGCCTACTGGGATTAGCAGCATTACAAATGAAGTCATACTGCCATTTCTTAAGCTTTTTCTGAATGCTAACGGGTCTCATTAAATGTTAATTGCACTTAAAACACTTTTTTTTTCAATTTAATCTCTGAAATCTGGTCATGATTTCCCCCTTCATTTATAAAAAGAGGAAAGGGGTCAATTTATGATTTGCACTATAATGATTTGAATTTGATAAAGATTTCACATAGATTTGTGTGTCAGGTATAGAGTTGCATACAGCAGCTATCTAGAGCAGATGAAATTTGCCCCTGTGACACTTCACAGCTTGGACTGCAGCGGCTTCAGGTGCTTGTAATAAGATTCGTGGACCTGTTGGGAAAGGAAAGAGAAGAAATTCCGGCAGTCTGCCATGTTAAATAGCACTTTTTTGTTTGCTTGTTTGAGACAAGGTCTCACTCTGTCGCCCTGGCTGGAGTGCAGTGGCAGGAACAAAGCTCACTGCAGCCTCAACCTCCTGGGCTCAGAGGACCCTTCTGTCTCAGCCTCCCAAGTAGCTTGAACTACAAGTGTGTGTCACCATGTTTGGCTAATTTTCATATTTTTTTGTAGAGATGAGGTCTTGCTATGTTGCCCAGGTTAGCCTTGAATTCCTGGGCTCAAGCGATTCTCCTGCTTTGACCTCCCAAAGTGCTGGGATTACAGGCTTAAGCCACTGCACCTGGCAAACAGCAAACTTTGAATTGAGAAATTATCTGGACTGTCCTTAGATCCTGATTCAAAGAAATTATTTAAAAAGAGAGACAAAGCCGGGCATGATGGTTCACGCCTATAATCCCAGCACTTTGGGAGGCCGAGGTGAGAGGACTGCCTGAGCCCACGGGTTTAAGACCAGCCTGGGCAAATTGGTGAGATCTCATCTTTCAATAAATCAAAAAATTAGCCAGGCATGGTGGCATGTGTCTGTAGTTCCAGCTACTTGGAAGGCTGAGGAGGAAGGATTGCCTGAGTCTAGCAGGTCAAGGCTGTGGTGGCCATGAGCACGCCACTGCACTCCAGCATGGGCAAAAGAGTAAGACTCCAACTCAAAATAAAAATAAAAATAAAATAGAGAGAGAGAGAAAGAGAGAGAAAAAGACTGAGCCACTTCCAGAAATTTGGACACTGGGTATTCCATGATTTTTTTTTTTTTTTGAGTCAGTCTCACTCTGTTGCTCAGGTTGGAGTGCAGTGGCAAAATCACAGCTACTGCAGTCTCGACCTGCTGGGCTCAGGCAATCTTCTGCCTCAGCCTTTCAATTATCTGGGATAATAGGCAAGTGCCACCATGTCCAGCTAATTTTTAAATTTATTGTAGAGACAAAAGATCTCGCCATGTTGCCTAGGCTGGTCTTGAACTCCTGGGCTCAGGCAATCCTCTCGCCTTGGCCTCGCAAAGCACTGGGATTAGAGCATTAGAGATGTGAGCCACCATGCCAGGTCTTTTTTTTTTTAATTAAGATCTCGCTCTGTTGCCCAGACTGAAGTGCAGTGGCACCATCACAGCTCACCACAGCCTCAACCTCCTGGGCTTACGCAATCCTTCTGCCTCAGCCTCCCGGGTGGGGTGAAAGGTGTGCACCACCGCGCCAAGTTTATTATTATTTTGATAGCAATGAGGTCTTGCTATATTGCCTAGGCTAATCTTGAACAACTGAGCTTAAGCAGTCCTCTTGCTGTGGCCTTCCAAAATGCTGAGATTACAGGCATAAGTCCCCGCACCCTGTCTTTTCATGACATTAATTTTTGTTTATTTTGTTTAGGTGTGGAAATTCTATTGTGGTTATTTTAAAGAGTCCATGTCTTTTAGAACTATACATTGAAATGTTTATGGATAAAAGTATCTGTCTTGCATTTATTTCAAAATAATCTCCAAGAGGGGAAGGGTGGGGGTTCAGATGAAACACAACTGACCATGAGTTGATGGCTGCCGAGGCTAGACAAAGGGTACATGGAGGTATGTTATGGGATTCTACTTTTGTATGTTTGAAAATGTTCAATTATTTATGAAATATTGAAAGTAATTAAAAGTCTGCTTACTGAGAAAATGACCCAGTTCTCTTTTGAACCTGTTCAAGTCAAGTGGCTGTCAGAAGTAGCCACACCAAGAGTCTAAGACTAGCCTGGACAACATAGGAACACCCCGTCACTACAGAAAAACATAAAACGTTAGCGGGGCATGGTGGCATGTGCCTGTAGTCTCAGCTAATCAGAAGGCTGAGGCTGAAGGGTTGCTTGAGCCCAGGAATCTGAGGTTGCAATAAGTTATGATTATGCCACTGCACTCCAGCCTGAGTGACAAAGAAAGAACTACTCTCAAAAAATTAAAAAAAAAAAAGTGACTAGAGTGCTTTCAAAGTTTTCACAGATTAATTCTTTTTCAGAGGCCACGCCTGTCTCAAAATGTAAATGAAGAATTTAAAAAGGTGAAAAAACATTGGATCTTTACCTCGGCTTTGTTCAGTGGGGAGTTCTTAGCCCATTCAAACAAGTTTTCATACACATTCCCATCATAGCGGCCAAGCACAGAGCCAAGTGTCACATCCTGAAAATCAAATGCATCAACCAAAGCGACTGCATTGGGGCGAATCAGAGTGAGTAATTCCTTTATATGTTGGTTTACTTGGGTAATTTGAGATTCTGTTATGATGTTCCCCTAAAAGAAACCAAAATAATAAAATATATGTGTGTATTAGACAGATAAATTTATACACACAAACAAATATAAAATAGACAATTATTTTTCTAAAAAAAGACATCCTTAGAAAATACTGACCTGAAGAAAATCCCCTGCCTTTTGACTGATTCCATACAGAGAATACAAAAGACACAAATTCCTTAAGACAGCTTGAACGGATTTATCTTGAATTTTGAGGAGTTTTTCTGAAAAGAGTTTAACTACCACATAGTGGCAATGTGCCTAGAAAAAAAGAAAACATAAGAGTTTAAGAACGCTGCAAAAGATTCAAAATGCAGTGATTAGGGTTTCTGCACTAAGAAAATGGGGGACGCTGGGGAGGAATGAGGAGTGACAGAGAAGTACCACTGACCTCACTTGCTCGAACGAGGTCAACAGAAGTTAGGTTCCATGCTACCTCCTTGCTCTTTCTGTGAATCACTTCTGTTTGAAGGTTTTTTGCAGCAATTTCTACTAATCTGTTAAGAAACAGAAAACCAGAGGTCTGAGGAAATGACCAGTAATACTCCTGACTTCTTGTCTGTCAGGGCCCCAACTCCACAGCCATGTCTTCCAGTTCTTGAGGGTCAGCTCACCTGGCTGCACGGAGTTTATAAGCTTCAGTTAGGCTGTCGGTGCTGTTGATGTCCACCACAGTTGGCCAGACAGCTACCTGCTGTGGCTGGATACGCTGACTAGGCAGGTCATTCAAGTAGGACACCATGCCACATACCAACTTTCCTGAGTGCACTTGGTCATAACTTTTCATCAGGAACCTAAAAATCACCAGAACACATGCTTTTAGTAACTCTGCTCTTGTACTGACTTTATGTAATATGACACGTGTTTCATACTTGCAAGTCTAACCACAAAACTAAAACAGTGAGAGTGAGTCAGGATGAAGGGCAAAATTAGGCCTTATCAGAAACAAATGCAGATATATATGGTGAAGAGAAACATGGGATCAGGAACCCATGAAAAGGACTGGAACATTCTTATCAGCAGACAGGATAAGTCATGAATTTTATTCTCACCTAGCCGTCTGTAGCATCATGACAGTGTTTTCGCCCTCAAAGGTACAGGTTGGGGTGAAATTGACATAAATGTTTGGAAGACCACTGCAATGAGAATAGCCATGCCCGCCACAAGCCATCCGACATGCTTCGATACCAGTGTTTGCCGTCCAGGAGGTAAAAGCCTTAAGCCCAGCGGTGAGGGCATGAAGCTGAGAGGACAAGAACAAGTTCGTCAGAGCATCTGTGGTGCTTACAGTCCAATATGCAATGAGAAGACACACATCCTCTTCTAACATACTGGCCAAGGTCAAAACCAGCAACCACACATGCAGACTGAAGAAGCACAGCTGTCTGACTGGTCAGAAAAATGAAGTGCACTCCCACATGCCCTTCTAAACTGTTCTATTTGATAAAAAAGTCACCACTTATGTTCCTTTGATAACATGATACAATATTTCTGATAACACTTAAAAGACTTAAAAACAAAATCCACATATCTTCATATCTGGTCCACTTTCAACCAGAAATTGTCCTCAGAATGTACAATTCTTTTTTTTTTTTTTTTGAGTTGGAGTCTCACTCTGTTGCCCAGACTGGAGTGCAGTGGCCGGGACCTGCTGGGCTCCGGCGATCCTTCCGCCTCAGCCTTCCAAGTAGCCGGAACTACAGGCGTGTGCTACCACACCCGGCTGATTTTTTGATTTATTGTAGAGATGAGGTCTCGCTGCCCAGGTGGGTCTCGAACCCGCAGGCTCAGGCAATCCACTCACCTCAGCCTCCCAAAGGCGTGGGATTACAGGCTGAGCCACCGAGCCCGGCTAGAATGTACAATTCTTTTCAGGAAATTCCAACACCTGGCTTTCTCTGGATATTGTCCAACAGGCAAACATGAAATTGAAGGGTGCCCATGAATGGCTGGGCGCAGTGGCTCATGCCTGTAATCCATGTACTTTGGGAGGCTGAGGTGGGAGGATGGTTTGCGCTCAGGAGTTCAAGACCAGTCTAAGCAACATGGTGAGATCTCAACTCTACGAGAAATTTAAAAAACAAGGCTGTGGTGAGCTGTGATTGTGCCAGTGCACTCCAGCCTGGGCAAGAGGAGAGGGAGACTCTGACTCAAAACAAAACAAAAACAATGGAGGGTGCCCATGAATGAATCAGAGCAAATGCATACCTCAGGCAGTTCAGTCAGGTCCCCTTGGCCAATGCCTTCATTAATCCGATGATAGGTTTCCTTCATGTATGCACCTACAAACTGGAAGGCATAGGCAGTGGCCAGTAGTGGAAAGAGTTTATATTGCTGGGTTTGGAAATCCAAAATCTGAGGTTCTGGTTCACTATATTATATATAAAAAGAAAAAAAAATAAGCAAATGCTTACATAGAACTTGCTATGTGCCTGTTTCTAGGCTAAGCATTTTGATGTATTAACTTATTTAATCCTCATAAGATCACCTGAGGTAGCTACTATTATTATCCCCACTTTGCAAGTGGGGACATTGAGGGGTTAAGAATCTGTCTAAGGTCATGCAGCTCCTAAGTGGTAGATCTTCCATTTAGGCTATTTGGCTCTAGAAGACCGTGCTCTTAACTGCCTTAGACACAGAATTTTCTGGCTGCAAAACTACTACCTGGCCTAGGTTTTCCAGTAAAACTGAGGAAACTACAACTCATAGCAACATACAAAACCAAAACTAGTTAACCTCACAAGAGGAAAGCAATGCTAAAAAGCTCCAGCACATTAGATGGCTGAATAAACTATATTTTGACCACAATATCTTAAGGAAGACCCAACATACAGTGTTAAGTAGTTTGAAGTATAAGAATTAGCAAAGCTTTCTTTTATCAATTTATTTAATCCTTAAGAGTAAAAAGAGTATCAGGGAGTCATGCCCAAGTGACAAGTGAAAGACAACTGTAGGATTAAACTCTGGCCATAAGCACAAAAGGGAAATAAATTTAACACCACTTTCACCATACACAATTTGTGTTGTTGGTAGTAACTGGAATTTTCAAACTACTTTTAGTATTTTGAACATTTCATTTACAGAGCTCAAGTAACACTGTAACTATTTTTCTTAGAAGGTTAAAAATAATGTCAGGCACGGTAGCTCATGCTTGTAATTCCAGCACTTTGGGAGGCAAGGCGAAAGGATTGATTGAACCCAGGAGTTCAAGACCAGCCTAGGCAACGTATTAGGACCACGCCTCTACAAAAAATTTAAAAATTTGCCAGGTGTGGTGACACGTGCCTGTAGTCCCAGCTATTCAGGAGGCTGTGGTGGAAGTGCCTGAGCCCAGGAGGTCAAGGATGCCGTGAGCTGTGATTTTGCCACTGCATTCCAGCCTGGTGACACAGTGAGATGCTGACTCAAAACTTAAAAAATAAATAAGGTGACTATTCTTATATTTCTTCTTAAGAAAAGGAAGCCTAGAGGCCAGGTGCTATGGTTCATGCTAGTAATCCCAACAGTTTGGGAGGCCAAGGTAGGAGGCTCACTTGAGCCCAGGAGTTCAAGACCAGCCTGGGCAACATAGTGAGACTGTATCTCTATTTTTTAAAAAAATAAGCCGGGATCGGTGGCTCAGCCTGTAATCCCGTGCCCTTGGGAGGCTGAGGTGAGTAGATTGCCTGAGCCCGTGAGTTCGAGACCCGCCTGGGTAACTTGGTGAGACCTCATCTCTACAATAAAATCAAAAAACTAGCCGGGCGTGGTAGCGCGTGCCTGTAGTTCCAGCTACTTGGAAGACTGAGGCGGAAGGATCGCCGGAGCCCAGCAGGTCGAGGCTGCGGTGGCCGGGAGCAGCCACTGTACTCCAATCTGGGTGACAGAGTGAGATTCCAACTCAAAAATAAATAAATAAATAAATAAATAAATAAAAATTAAAAATTAAAAAAGAGAGAGAGAGAGAAAAGGAAGGCTAGATATAGATACTAAGCTGCAGACCCAGTACACTGTCACCCTAGCTAATTTTGAAAACGAATACATCTTTTCTATCCACATTCAGGAATTCTGATATCTGAATAAGATGAAAACCAGGTCTTCAGTACTGATCTCACTCTTACCCTGGCTTGATTTCGGACTGGTGCCTTACAGCGCTGTACCGGACAGCAATGGTGCATGCCTTGGACAGACTTTGAGCAGCTTGTCCCACAAGAAAGGATCTAACAAACACCATGGTCCCATAAGTCAACTTGTTACTCAGTGGGTTCACATATGTGCCATCAGGCTTCACCTGGAAGAAGAACATGAAAATGATGTTTCCTTCCAAGCCCAAGAGGCAGTTTAGTTGTTCTCCAAGCGTGGTCCCTGAAACAGCAGCATCAGAGTCATCTGGCAACTTTGAAGTACTAAATATCACTCCCACGGTGACCCGCTAAATCAGAAACTCTGGGGGTAGGGCTATCAATTTGGGTTTTAACCGGCCTCCCTAGGTGATTCTAATGTATGCTAAAGTTTGAGAACCACCGATTTACCAAATCAAGATGTGTTCTTTACCCCTGCCAACTGCTTCTGATTTCACTGTCATAATAAAAAAGGCGTCAGAACTAAAAATATGGTATTACCTTCTAAAAGAAGAGACTCTTCTAACCCTACTGTTAGGAACAGCCACTGCGAGACCAATGTTTGACGCCTCTGCTCCTATTTTCTATCTAAGTATACCTGGGCATACTTCATCAGCATGTTTTCTCTGGGAATTCGGTAGTTGTCCATTTTGAGGTAGCCATTATCCATCTCATCATAACCAAATTTGGGGCCGATGTCACCAACAGTAATACCTACCACAGATAAAAGGAAAGACATAAGCTATTTAAGCTCCAGAATTCCTCCTGGCTTTCCCGCCTCCTCCATAGTTGTGCATTCTACTTTTTGCAGAAGAAAGTGTTCTGTTTAATTTTAATCTCAACATTAAATAAACAATTCATACCTGGCAAAGGCTTATGGGTCCCGATTTCACGAAGAGGTACAATGAAGGCATGTAATCCATAGCATTTTCCTTTAGTGATGAGCTGGGCAAGAACTATTGCATGATTTGAAGTTTTTCCAACTGTAGCAGCAAAGAGAAAGAGAGAGAAATGAGCAAATTTTCTTACATTTTCTTTTTTTTTTTGGTTAAGTAAAAATAATTTTTTTTTGGGAGAGACAGGGTTTTGCTATGTTGCCCATGCTGGTGTGAAACTCATGGGCTTAAGCCATCCTTCTACCTAGGACTCCCAAAATGCTGGGATTACAGGCACGAACCAGTGCACCTAGCCTGTTCTTACATTTTCAAAGGGTAGAAACAAGAGAGGGAAAAAAGAGTATGCTAAATATAACACTAGACTATACCAATAACATGTGTCCAGAAAACCTCTCTGCTGACAGTATCACACCTACCTTACAGAAATTCACTTAAGCTGGTAGTTATTAAAATTTACTAAATTGTGAGCAACCCCCTCAGGTCCCCTCCCACTGTGGGAGCTTTTCTGTTCTCTTAATAAACCCTGCTTTCTCACTTAAAAAAAAAAATTTACTAAATTTTGGCAAAGCAATCTTCCTTTTTTTTTTTTTGAGTTGGAGTCTCACTCTGTTGCCCAGACTGGAGTGCAGT